TCATAATTAGAATAGGTTTCGGTTAAGGTGTAGGGTTTAGGGTTTAGGGTTTAGGGTTTGGGGTTTAGGTATATTACGATAAGGAACCCCCACAATAGTATAGGAAAGTACTACGGCCCCTATATTACCACCTGCTTTCAGAGCCCAAGATCGAAATACGTCAGGTGCTCTGCGGGCCCTCATGACGTATCCAGGCCTTCATAGCTCGACTAGCAGCTTGTGGCCGGTTTAGGGTTTAGGGTTTAGTAGGGCTTAAATGGGTCTCATAGGCCCATAGGTTGACCTTCGCAGCTACCGGTAATATAGGGCCTTACTAGTTAGGATAGGGTTTTGGGGTGTATAAACCCTAAACCCTAAACCCTAAACCGGTTTGGGGAGTTTGAGGTTTAGGGGTTCGCGGCTTAGGGAGTTTGGGTTTTTTGGGGTTCGGGGCCTAGGGCTGCACTAGGATGTTGTTGGGTTTCGCTGTGTCGGGTGAAGGCACCAGGGTTCAGGGTTTAGGGTTTAGGGTTTAGGGCTTAGGGCTTAGGGCTTAGGGCCTAGGGCTTTGGGTTTAGGGTTTAGGGTTTAGGGCTTCGGGTTTAGGATTTCAGGTGGTCTTCGAAGCTAAAGCGTAATCTGATTTCAGCCCAAGCTGGCCGGGCAGCTCAAGCTTGGGCATTTGGGTTGAAGGTTTAAGACCCTAAACCCGAAACCCTATAAACTCTAAACCCTATAAACCCTGTAAACCCTAAACCCTATAAACTCCAAACCCTATGAATCCTGTACACTAAGAAACCCTATGAACTCTAAACCCTAAACCCTCTAGGCTCTAGGACTTAAGGGCTTCTGTTTGATGTACAGGCCTTAATAATTAGAATAGGGTTCCGGGGGGGATATTCTACTATAACTATAATGAGGAAACCCCCAAAATAGTATAGGTAATTATTTAGGCCCCTAAACCCCTAAACCCTAAACCCAAATTAGGCCTCTATATTAGGGAGTTTAGGCTTAACCATGCAAGGCTTTGGCTCCCAAAGCTCTGCACACTTCAAGCGCTGCTTCCAAAATCCTAAACCAGGAGTGTTTGAGCCCAAAACCCTAAACCCTAAACCCTAAACCCCTAAACCCTAAACCCTAAACCCTAAACCCCTAAACCCTAAACCCTAAACCCTAATCCTTGAAACCTAAACTGTCAAAGCCAGGCCGCTGAAGTTGGCTTTGGGTCCGTTCACCACGTTCGCATACACGAACAGTCCCTAGCAGGTCATATCTTTCAAACTCCAGAATTCCACGGGGCGTGGGGTTGCGGTTGAGGGTTTAGGGTTTAGCACATAGAAGTTTGAGGTGCGGGACTTGCATGTAGAAGTTGAAGGTGCGGAACTTAGGGTTTAGTAATTAACTTTAGTGTATTTAGGGGTTTGGTTTGGGGTTTAGGTCTATCGCCCTCCTCCCCTCGCCTGAGGAATGCACACTACGAGCCTTCTACAGGAATTGTTCATTCAATAGTATAGCCTTGGTTATCTAACCTCTGGGCCCTTTTATGTGGACCTTATGCTCCTCTTTCGGGCATTGGGATAAGGCCGGTTGCAGTGCCAGGAACTGCAGAACTCTGGACTTAGCTTTCGGGCTGGGGGCGTTCAACTAAATTCTCCCCAACACCGCTCCGCAACATGCTGCCCCCCAACTCCCGTCAAGCTATTGTTGCTTTTGCTGGTGCCAAAGCTTAAGCAGTGCCAATTCTAGTGCCACTGCTAGCGCCTATTGCCATCTTGATTGCAATTGCACAGATGATTGTGCTTGCTCGTGCTATTGCTGTGGCTGCGACCGTTGACGTTCTCAAAATGGCAATGGCTGCGGCATAACCATTGTTACTGCTCTTCCTGCTACCGCTACTGCCATTCATATTCCGAATATTACCGAACTGGCTCCTGCGACCTTTGATGCGATGCTGCATTGGAACTTACTGACTTTTCTTGGTGCGCAAGCTGCAACACCTGTTTATGACCCGTACTTTATCTGAGACCCTCAACCCTTCAAAAGCCCTAAACCCCTAAACCCCTGAACACCTAACCCGTAAACCCCTAAACCCCTGAACACCTAACCCGTAAACCCCTAAACCCCT